TTTAAGTACCGTTAGCACAGAAAGTGTGGGTTCCTTTACAGGAGATAAATAGATTTTGATTGATATATTAGCTTTTTGTTAAAAATCTAATTTTAAAATTTGGTTTTGTTTCACGTTTAATGAATTTTTAGTTTTCCTTATACATCTTAAGATTTCAGATAGTTTTTCGTAAAAATATTTTGAATGCTAATTTAGTGAAAAACTGTCGAAAAAACGTAGCTATATTATTTTAGTTTCAAATTACGTAATTTCATTAGCATATTTCTTTTTTGACAGCCATTGAAAGTGAAGGCGTTGTTAGACTTTAGTAGATACAAGCAACGTTCTTATGTGTTGTTGATATTAAAATTATTTTTTAATGTATGATTTTCTTACAGAAACCATTGATCTACATATATCGGTTGTGCAATATATGCTTGTGCCGGTGTGTATGTATGTATGTGTGTAATAGCTATTAAAATAAACAATTAGCATTTCGCCTATTCTCAAATCAATCATTTAAGGGGTTACATGTGGTTCATCGAGCAAAATACGCTTTATTTTCAATAATTTTTTTTTCATATAAAAAATAAAATATTTTTTTCAAATTTTAAGGTTAAGTCGTTCGTGCGAAATCTTGACAACGGACTTTGAAAACATAGTTTCGAAAAAAACACGTTTAAAGTTTTAAGTGACTACATAGCTGACCTGGAGCGCGCAACTTTTTAAAGCTGTCTCTTAGTTTTAGTACAAAATTCTAAAGATGTTATAGGCTTAAATGAGACAATAAAATATTGCTTTTTTTTTGAAGCCGTGAAACCCATGTAACCCTTTAATTCAAATAAAAAATTGTCATTTATATATCAGTGGCAGTATAGCTTCGGGATAGTAAATGCGAACTAAAAAGTGAGTCTTCAAACAGACGCATTTTTAAGGAAAAAACTGTAGACTTCTGCTGTAAGCGCGTGAAATAAGAGGGAATAAAACTCACTAAGAAGACAGACTTAACTGTCAGCTTAAACAAAATTTTTCTACCCAGAACCGGGTATATTAAGTCAGCCACGAAGTTTGTTACCCCAAAATGTAACGTTGGAGATCTTATAAATTATATATACAATGCCTATCAACAGGGATAACATGATTTTGACAGCTTGTGGCGTCCATGTTTGTTCACGGATTTGTGTAAAATTTTGTCAGTGGGTTCAGTAAGGTTTATCATTTCATCTTGTCAGGTTTCACTTTGGTACAATGTTTGGAAGTCGTCCAAGATTATTACGCAAATTCACGTTCTCCGTGGGCTACTGTAAGAGCTCTCCTCGCAAAGCACGATCTTTTCAGAGGAGGCCCATTTCTGGTTTATGGCTTCGTCAACAAATCAAATTGTGGTTATTGGGGTGACTCCATGTTGACCGACTTGTTTCCCGGAATTTGATGAAATCGACACGGGCGATCTTTATTTCCAACAAGGCGGTGCGTCATGGACATATTTCGTGCAAAGTTTTGCGACTCGTTAAATTTGAGGAATGGCCCAGTCAAATGACCGCCAAGATTATGCAATTTAACGTCTATAACATAGATTATTTTCTCTGGGGGTATGTTAAATCAAATGTTGCCATTCAACTAGCAACGCTCGAGAAGCTCGAAGACAACCTTCGGCGTATTATAGCAGAAATTCTAGACGAAATGCTGCGCCGGGTCATCGAAAACTGGCGTAAATGGATGGATATATGCAAACGGAAACGTGGTGGCCATTTGACCAAAGAAAAGAACCCAAATTTGAGTGTTTTATTTTATTTTAACATCACGTCGTTTGTTTTGGTAGACCCAATGAAAAGATCAGCATAACGAGCTGAGCCGATTTAGCCAGGGTCGTCTGGCTGCTTGTATTATATACGCGAACCAGTCTCTTAGTTTTTGAGGCGCTGATCTGAAAATTTGCACGTGTTCTTATTTCCCGTCTTTTGGGCATTTGTCGAAACCGCTGAAACCAACTGTACTACTATACAGATAGCTGCCTTACAAACACCGATCCAAATCATATACATGTAGGAAAAACTTTTTTATTTGACAGATATTTTCACGAAATTTGGCATGGATTATTGTCTAAGACAGTCTTTTTTCTTTAATTCGACTTGAAGGTTATTTATATCAAACACCGTGTCTAGAAAGAACCAACAAAACTTTTTCCGCTTAATGCAAACCGTTGTATTATTGGAGGAGTCTTAAGTAAGTGGGTTTTAGTGTTTTTGTGAATTCGAATCCCGAAATTGAGGTCTTTACGTTACCTTATGTGGACGAGGAACAATCATCACTTGTTTTCTTTTATGGAATAGCTGTGCGTAGGATAGTTAAAATTCAATCATCAGAAATTGATAAGATTTTTTTTTTTTTTAATAAACTTCAAAAAATATGGGAATCGGGCTTAACATTTGGAGTGAAAGGTGATGTGTTTTCTTAAAAAAAAAACAAGCAAAAACGATAGATTTGGCGGCACCGAAGCTATAATTCCCTTCATAACTGCATTTTTTTGTGCCACATAATGATATAAAAATATCTTTATCTTGATCCGTCAGTTTGTATTGTATTATATTGCAGTAAGATATTACTACTCTTTTGCATCGATTCGCTTAAGACACACAGATCATTTTTCGAAGAAGTACACGCCTTACCTAAATTCGATATTTTCATATTATCAGCAAATGATTAATTACTAACGGTGAGTGAAATTAATAAATTAATTGGCATATACCTATGCCAAATTTCGTGACGAGACATTGTCAAATAAAAGTTTTCCATACAGGGACTTGAGTTGGATCGGTCAGTTTGTATAGTAGCTATATGTTATAGTTCTTCTATATCGGCGATTTCGGCAAATGAGCACCTTTTTGGTGAAAAAAGGGCGTGTACAAAATTTGAGGTCAATATCTCAAAAACTTTGAGGCAAGATATAACATCAGCGATATGAGACCGTCAAAGCGCATTAAAATGGTGCAAATAGGGGCGACAAGATACATAATTAAGACGTAACCGCGCTGGCAAAAAGTCAAGCTTTGCTCAAGTACCGAAGTAAATATCTTAGTCTACAAAAATACTAAAACAATTCAAACATTGTATAGTTCTAAGACATTTAATAGAATTCTAGAATATTGAACAGAAGTTCATTGATTGTAGATATAGAGTTAAGAATATAAAAAAAATAATACATGACCTTCTTCACACTTGGCTTTTTGCTTGGCAGCAAATACTAATTAATTTTAAATGATTGATTTGATAAAGTTGAAAGCACTTGAAATTTGATTCCTGGATGCATTTTAGGTTTGACATTTTATATTTTAATAAATATTAGATATATTAATATCTTTATGAACTTTATTTATTCAGGGTTGATTTCTTCCTTCTCTTTTAATAGTTTATAACTTTCTTTTTGCTATATTTAAATATATTTTGTAGATTATCTTATGTACATTTTTAGTATATAGTAAGTAAATATATTATAATAACATAGAAGAAACAGCCTCAGTATTTTAATATCCTATGGATTCTTCAGATAACGGTAAATTGATTTTAGTTAGAAAATACTTCTCATAGTGTTAAATTTCTTACAGTTGCTTAGTCTAGTAGAGAGAATTGAGTGAGATTGTCAATTTTGAATATGGTTTCCCAACAATTTAAGTTTTACGCATAGATTTAGTAAATTTCCAGATAATATATATTTTAATATTTTAATATCAGTTTTCACTTAATATTAAATATAATATAATTAAGATTGGATTTTTGAGAGATTATATTTACATAAATTTCTTAGTCGATATTTTTTTATATGAGTGACTTTAATTTTTGGGCGAGTATATTTATGTATAGTACAAGATAGTCAGATTTAAAATGCAGAATATCGATTTTTTTGATATGATTATACTCATAGAGCTCGATAACTTAACGGTTATGAAAACATGTATACTCAATTCAAATTTTTGCATGGGTTGCGTCCCGTAAATAGAACTTGTGATAAAATTGTTAGAATTTATTTGATCAAAAATATATTTTTTAAAAAAAATCTTTAAAAAGCAAAGGTTTTAGTCTTTGGTGCCAACAACAACTAACTAAAAATAAGTTTTTTTTTGGCAATAGCCTAAAGTTTTTAGCAAATAATATCAGTAGAATACTTATGAAGTTTTCTGCTATTTCCCGCTACAATTCGACTATGCTTTAACAAATCTTATTAAATTACATATGTATATTTATTTTAAAGCCAAATATAAAATGTCTGAATTAGTTGGTTCCACTTCGGAACATAAGTATTTCAATCTGCGAACTCGAAATGTCGAAATTCTTTTGAAACAAAATGCTTTTTACAAAGTCTGGAGGAAAAAGCACGTGACTTACCGAATTTACTTCGGAAATGACTTTCGAACATTATTAATGGATGATTATTATTATTGATGATTATAATTAGGACATTTAACGGTAATTTAATTCAATAGAGATCAACATCTGATCGATGTGCGTTACTAAAGAAATGCTTCGTGTTCGTGGATAGCCAGGACATCATCATACCATATTTGGTAAAATAATATATGCTTACAGGCTTAATAGACTCCAAATCTTAATTTTTATGTTTTATTGCCTTCTTTACTTTATTTGACCTAAAAGTTTCAATCACGTGTCTAAAGGTTAACAGAATCAACAGCCAAAAATACACGCTAGGCTTGGAAATTATTCCTTTCACATGATTCCAACAATATATGGTATAAAGGATGACGAAGTCACGCAGCCTTACGAAAGTCACTCAGAGAGAATTAAAGTTAAGAGAATTGTGTCGAGTAAGCACATATCATCGTGTGGTATTACGCAAGAGTAGCTAATGGGTGCTCATTGTCATTCTGCAAAACTAAACGTGCACGACATATTGTACTTAGACTTGCCATAAATTCTGTTACAAAGTTTACAATGCATACAGCGCGAACAAAGGCACAGAAAATAGTGCTATTTAAATATGATTATTAATGAGAAAATAAAAAATGTTTAAGAAAATCAGAAGTTTTTCGCTGCGTTTTTAATTTATAATTATTTGTAACATCACACCTTAACACTTAATTTATGCCGCAACAACAATAAATATAGTGGTTTTGTGTATACTCGTGGCTGTATATGTGTACCTTGTAGGTGTGTAAATGGATATGTGTATATGCAATATTATTTCAGCTTATACGCCTAAAAATAGACCTCGCCGCCTTTTAAGCACGCTTAAATTTAATACTTTTCTGCCCATCCAACAACTTTAATTGCATTACTTCTTTCATTACATTTAAGCAGCAACAAATTTGTAAATATATATATTTATATATACATTGTTTGTTTATATATATAGTATGTATGTATGTGTGTGTGTTTAATGCAAGCGTTGTTAGGCGTGTTTATTGGTGCTGATGCGCTGGTGTTTCGTTTAAGTTTAATTGTACTGCAGTGTTTAGTGCTTCAGTGCTACTAAGGTACGCAACATTCCTGATTTTTTTATTGAAATAGTTTTTTCTTTATTTTTAATATATTTTTATTAACTTCACTTTTACTTTGTTCAACAAACACTTCCTTAGGCAACCAAAGCTGACTATTCGCCTGGTTATATATGTATTAGTGGAGTAGTTAATTTGATTTTGTTGTTATTTTTGGTGTTAGCAACGGAAATAATATTATAAAAACAAAATATTTGTACTTGTATTTTTGAAAAAATTTTTATAGCAGCATTATATAATATAAGTAGTTGGGTATGTATGTATATAAAAAGCTGTATCTTTTCACTTTCCCTTCTCTTCTCTCCTCTACTTAACATTTTTTATTCAATGCTTTGTAAATAGTAACTAACATTTCCTCACCACCTCTTCCAACTATAGTAAGAGCATACAAGTAATTATACCATTGTGTATGTATGTGTGAGTGTTTGTAATGGTGTTTTTGTTTTGCAACAAATTCTTTAGAAGAATCTTCTATAAGCTCTTTTATTAAAATATGCATTTTTATTGTGGTTATACTATATTCACTAATATTTTTTTAAAAACAATTTAATATTCACTCTTCAAGCCTTTAAGAAGCCCTTGGGACCTCCGCAAACCGTTCCACAACCATTCTTAATTGTTTTTGCTTAGCCATAATAGTTTGTTGTAATTGGAAAATTTCCATAGTTGCCATAAATTGCAATTTAAATCTAGTAAATTGTAATTGAGCCTTTTCGCTGCATAAATTATTATAATCAATACTGGCATCACCATTATTGTAATCATTACTTGCATTACCATTAGTGTAATCATTACTTGCATCACCATTATCGTAATCATTGCTTGCATTACCATTATTGTAATTATTATTTGCTTTATCATTAACGTAATCATTACATACAATACCGTTATTGTAATAATTACTTGCATCATCATTACAATAATCATTATTATAAATAGTTTTATAGCGTAGTTGATTTGTTGGTGTTTTTGTTGCAATTGTCATAACTCGTTTTGTTGTAATTATTGTATTTTGATTCATATTTGTGGTGTCGATTTTATTGTTCATTGTATTTGTTTGTGTGGTTCGCATGTGTTTGCGCGTGATCGGTCAAGGAGAATTATCCGAATCGGAGCCGCCTAATGAATGCATCGGAAAGAGTGGATACCAGCCGCCTATGCGTTGTGCTGCATTGATTTTGTCCAAATTGACTTCGGTGCCGCCCAAACCTTGGTTATGTTCGAAACCGACACACCGTTGCCAGACCATAATGACAATGTTGCGACCGAAAACGTCCGCACTCTGTAAGAGGAAGAAACATATTTTTGGTCATTGTTAAAATGTTAGTCATAATGATTATCAGTAAATGCGTCCACATATCGATTTTTATACCTTGAATGGGGTATATTAAGCTTGCCACGTTATTTGTAACACCCAAAAGGTAACGTCGGAGATCGTATAAAAATGTATATATTTCCATATGGTATATAAATGATCAGCATAATTAGCTGAGTCGATTTAGCAATGTCCGTCTGCCTGTATGTATATATGTATGCGAACTAGTCACTCAGTTCTTGAGATATGGTTATGAAATTTTGTATACGTCCCTTTTTCCTGAAGAAGCTGCTAATTTTTCAGAACCGCCGATATCGGTAATAAAACACCGATACTCCATCGAGAGTAGTTATGGAACCTTATACCTCGCTATCAATGACATCGAGCATTTTCATTATAAGGTCAGAATGGGGGCTTGGCGTTGTGGAATTGTAAAAAGTTGTAAAGCTAATGACACTTTTGTTTCAGCATCAATATCTCTAGCTGTTGTTTCTTACGAGAGCCTGGCCAGCTCTTATTAACCACCAGCACTTGCACAGTACAGTGTACATTTGGTTACATATAAGCGGATCTGGGGAATATTCTATACCACTACAACAACAAAATAATGACATACAACTAATAAGTGATATGATAAGCGAAGGAATTTTGATACAATAAGTCTATTTAAAGCTCAGAATTGGATAATAGTTTGGGTAATAGTAGGGACTACGGCAGAAGTCCAAAGAAATACATGAATCAAACTATCGCCGTACAATTTTATGTTTTTTCCAAATTTATTTTGTTTAAGAATATATATTTTAGCTATGGAGGTTGCTTCACTGGATAATGCATTTTGCAATGGACAAATATTAGGCGGTTTACGGTTGTATTTTTTGTAGAATTGTATATAAAGCTATTGAAATGAAATGACAATAAAACTATAATTGCACTCCGAATTCGAAATAGTAGGTATTTTTAGTCGTGAATAATTAACACCAAAATAGCTCCGCTCTGGAAAGTTTTTGTTATGTAATTATATTATATGGTATGTTATGAAATTTCAGATTCACATTCCCGTTGTATTAAAAAAGTGCAGTAAATGCATGAGGAACTTTGTGACTATTCCATAACTGTTTGTAAACGGTTGCAGGGTGGGTCAGTCGAAACGAATATTTCTACCAGAAGCATCGCGGTCCATGTTGTATCATTATTCTAGCTATCCACATAAAAGCAGTCAGAAATGTTACCTGCAATTCTGCTAAGTTATATAGAGTTAGAGAAATAGAGAGAGGGAGAAAAAGAGAGAAACGTATTGTTTGTCGGACCAAAAACCAGTACAGCCTGCTAAAGAGATAGTTCTGCGCTGTTTTTGACCTAGCTTGATTTACAGCTGTACACAACATAGAGTGCCACTTAGAGCGAAATTTAAATCGTAAATGTGTGTTGGTATGTCGATAAGCGTGTGTTAATAATGACTTCATGGTCATTTGATTACCGTGATGTAATAATGCAGTGTTCTGCGAAAGCGCATTGTGGAAAATGGTCGCATGAAATGCGCAAAATTCAACAAAGCGCACATATGTTGCCTACATTCAGGCGTAGGCGCACTCGTGCATGCACTACAATGGTATTACCTACCTAAGTACAGCTGTGAATGTGCAAAGTGCTGCATTACTGCAATATTTGCGTTTCGCGATATTAAGGCTCGTTTAAGCCATACATATACTCTGCATGCATGTAGGTATGTGTTAAGTGGAAGCAGAGGCAACCCTGTAAGGAGTTGAAGGACAAATTGTTTCTGTGTTCGGACATTGTTTAAAGAAGAATAACTAACTAATTTCTAATGGATTTGTAGTTATTATTTATTACGTCGGACCAAGTTTTTTTGTTCATATCTTTAGAATCAGTAAAAGTATTTGATTCGCGGGAAGTTATCACGTCAAATGAAAAAGTTTTCCATACAAGCTCTTGATTGCGTTCGTTCAGTTAGTATGCAAGCAATATGATATATAGGGTGCGATATCGGCCGTTCCGACAAATGAGCAGTTTCTTGTGGAGAAAAGGACGACTGCAAAATTTTAAAGCAATATCTCAACAGCTGAGCTAGTTCGCGTATATAAAGACAGACGGACAGACAGACGGACATGGTTAAATCTACTCTGCTCGCCATGCTGATCATTTATACATATATATATTTTATAGGGTCGTCGTTCCTCTCTGAGTGGCCAATTTAAACTACCCTGTTCAGTGTATAAAAATATGACAATACGGAAGAAAATTTTAGTTACATAAGGTATACTAAAACTTGCTTTACCCCACAGGGTTTGCAGAAATTGTGCAACAAGGGTCCATTTGGTTAGGGTGATCCTTGAAACCGTAAATAGCGTGTGTGAGTGGATGTACGTTGCACCTAAGTGAACAAATCGAAATTAAACCCTTCCACGCAGCTTGGCATTTGGAAGTCATCAGCAGTAAATTTTTTTGCAAATTGCGGAAATTAAAAGGCAGAACATTCAGATGTGCTTGTTTGTGCGGGAACTCGTTCGAATGAGTGTGTGTGAGCGTAAATTTAACCAACAAAAGCGGTAAACTCGTTGCCTCCCTCTAACATTACAGACATTGAGAGCACTTGATGTGAGTATGGAGCTTTCAGAAGCGTGATTAAACCAACTTTGCAGGCATGTCCGCAGCCCGCGGTGCAACCGTTTTGCGAGCTTCAGGTCATTTGCCAAGTGCAAGTTAGTCATTTTGGTTTGGTTAGCATGCACTCACCTGATACTTGAGCGTCTGCTTGTAGTAGGGTTCGGCCGAGTGCCTCACCACGCGCGTCTTCTTCTTGTGCCGCAGTCGATCGCCATCTTTGATGTAGCATTTCACATATGTATCCGGCGGTGTCTCACAGTCCTCGGGCACAATGTTGCGTGCGCATATCACCTGCAATTAGGAAAGGGAAGAAAGAAGAAAGAATGACTTTCGCTGCGTGTACGAAACGGCAAATGTGTGCAAAGTGGGTGAAGGTACACAAAAGACGAGGGTAATAAAATGCAACGGTAAAACGGTTACTAATGACCATGTTGTTTATGCACATACTGTTATCCGAAAGGATGCACAGTCGGTGCTGCATGTGGCATGTATGCAGTTTGGACAACTTGCACACTAACGGTTAATTGTGCTTGTAATGGCACGCAAATTTTCATTAATTTTACACGAGCTTCACGCGCTGGCGTGAATCTACATCTACGTTGTGGGAGAGTTGTACAAGCTTGTAATTTTGGATTTCAGCTGTCAGTTAGTTGCTAAAGTCTTTACTCAATGGTTATAGCTCTCTTGCAATACAAGTGTACATATATATAAGCACACATATTTTGTACTAACTTTTTGTGGCTCAGCGCCAGCTTTCTTCGCTATCGGAGCCACTCGGAATTCGAAGCGGCCATAAGTTTTTACAAAGTGGAGTGTTAAGAGAATTTACAAAGTAATTACGAAAGTACACATTTTGCATTGACTAGCTAAATGGAGTTTCGAAAATCATAAACAATTCGTTGGGGGCTTAAGTACAACAGAATCCACAAAATTCCAAACGAAGATCGGAAGATTATCTGAATGGTCGATTTAGCGCCGCTCAATAGATTGCGAAGAACCCAATAAGATAAAAATATTTCAAGCAGAAAGCCTGGTTTTACATGCCGACATAAATTATGGCACACCCTGTACTTTCCACGTTCTATAATAGTATCGGATTGAACCTAGTATGATGCAAAGTTTGGCAATATATTTAGAATCTAATCTATCATTTAACGAAAAATGCCCAGAGAGAGAGAAAGAGAGAGACAGAGTTAATTTAAGTCACTTCTTCGTCAAAGCATACTCACCTCCACTTCGACGGTGCCTTTGATTTTGGCAAATGCCATTTTCAGCTCGCCATGTCGCACCATTGTCAGCCGATAACCTTTTGGATGTATTTGTCCTGGACCCATTTTTAGACCATAGTCCGTATCAATACCCGCAGTGGCGACTGTGGTCGCAGTCGTTGACGTTAAACTACTCATGCTGTCTGCATGACTGCTGTGACTTAAGTTTTTGGCACTGAGATGGTGCGGTGCGATACTCTGCTTGCGCAATATGGACGGGCTTTCGTTGCTGCTGACACTATACATGCTACTTTTGCGCAACAGCGCCGACTCACCGACGTGGCCACCTGCTCTACCGCCAGCATAAACACTGGCTTTCCGCTGCGGCGAACCGCTACTGCCGACACTAGGGGTGTCGCGTTCTGTTGCGCTGTGCGCATAAACGCTTCCTTTGCGCTGCAGTATCGCTGTCGGTCCGAGCGTGTTTTCGTTCGCCTTTAAATTAATCATGCTACCTTTTCGCAACTGTTTGGGGCTATCGTTGCCTAGACCCAACAAACTACCGCCACTCTGCCCTTGCATAGCTACATTCGTGGCGGAGGAGGCTTGCTTCAGCATTGACAACGCCTGCTTGGCGCTTTGTGGACGCAGATTGCTGCCCGAACCCTTCCAGCGTGGCGTAAACTGTTTGCCTTCGTCATCCGAGGGTGGACTGGTCGCTGCATTGCCGATACCCACTGGCAGTTGCTGTTGCAAGTGTTGCTGATGCTGCTGTTGTAGCTGTTGCTGTTGTTGCTGCTGCGCAATGTCAAGTATGGAGCCCTTGCGACTGCTCGGAGTGCTCGGCAAGCCCACACGACTAGCGCCTACTCAAGCGGTGGGGTGGAGCGCGTTGCAAATATATTAAACGAGAAATTGAAACATTAGTAATATACATACACATATCTACTATAAGGTTCGGGGGGGCGGGAGCAATAGTTAAATGCGCGGCACTCAAAGAAGTACAGCGGAAAGTGTACACCAGTTAGCCAGCTCGCAAAACTTTAACGCAAAACTACTCATAAACTCAAGTGTACTCTGTCGTGGAACAATTGCGATGCTCATATTCCACTTATGTAGACACTTGTGTATGTGTAGATGTGTGTGTGTGTGTAGTTTTACTGTTACTATATTTTAACTGTTAAACTATAAAATCGCCCAAAATTGAACGTTTAAATTGAGAACTCAAAATAAATTTACCACAAGGCATGCCGAGTAGAAAAACGTAGAGGGAAAAGCGAGTAAAATTTTAACAAAAATTGGAACAAGCTAAAAACTTAAAAGTTTGAGAGAGAATTGTGAACTTTGAATTTAATGGTCGTGCAACATGCAAAACACTTTACTACAATATTTTTCAGACAAAAAAGTAAAATTATAACTATTATTTGGTCATATTACTAAAACCTGACCTTAACATATATTTTTATAGCTTATTTACATAACAGTTACGGTTGAAAAAAATTTTCTTCGCTTATCTCTAATATACACATAACTCAAAACATACTTTAGTCAGGCATCTTGGTTTACGAGGAATCGAGCTCCAAAACCCGGCCTTTCTCTGGGTTTACCAAAAGAAGAGTTTTTTTTGGCACTATTCCGCCAAAACTTTAAATGATATCAGAAATCTGAAAATTGTTAATATTTCACAAAACTTCGATTTTCGATTTCTTAATGACGTTTTTTGCTTGAAAAACATGATTAAAAAATATAAATCGCTGCCATTTTGACATATTTTCAAATATTCAAAGTAGCTTGTGTCTAGGCGGAAGTGGGGTTATAAAAGCAAATTTTTTTTTCAAGGAGACTACGTCTCACCCGGAATGGTGCTATTTAGGTACTCATTAAGGGAAGAGTTTTGAAAAAAAAAATGATTAATAGGCCTGAAATTTTAGCGCGAAGATAGACGTCATTTAAGCTTACATGATCTGTTATGTTCTAAAGTTTTAGCACTGTAAGCTAATTTTTAGCAATCTTTCTAGATCCAAATCATTTATTTGATTATTACCGAATATCTCAGGTAAATAGCCGAGTTACAATTGCTACATGGTAGCAACCCGCTTTTGTCTTATAGAGCTTTGCTAGGGATTTCCCGTTCTCTGAATCGGGGGGGTTTTATTAAACTTTTGCAATTTGATAATCATTAGGCAACAATTGGGTTTATTTATAAAACTTAAAATATTAATTTTTTTAACTGGTGGCAACTCTCATACATTTCTTTTACAGCATTTGACTTATTGAACCTTTAGAGCTTCACACCTAAGTTTATTAATTTTTTTGAATAGTTGGCAACACTGTTCAGTATTTTCAACTGTAATATTGTAAGCTTTGCAAGCTGATCTGAACTTTTTCAGTTGATACTCATATTGCAAAGTTTCTTTTTACAATGTTTAAGTTTTTGTGTCTTTAAATTTTCTATTAATTTTATTAGCTTTAAGGTATTAATCAAATAAAAGTGTTATCAAAATTCTCTCAACTTTTATTACTTTAGAAAATTCTTTTAAATTAAATAAATCATATAAACCATATTTACTGAAAATAACACGAAATTCCCAATTTGCTTAATATTGTTTTTTTGACTGTAATTTCAATTTCATGTTATTTCCTTTAATATGCATGCCCACAAACCAAATAAAAACACAAATTGCTTATGCACACTACACAGCTAACAATTGTATGCGTGCAGTTAGTTTCTATAATTCCTTGAATGGCAAATAAATAATTTCCCATAAGCCTCTTTGAAGATATTTCTCCGAAATAATGAGAATTGCATGCAAAACAACCGCATTGCAATTATGAGTATCAATGCAGCACTTAGCAGTCGAGAACAGCAACGTCACTGACAATCGAGCTGCTTGCGGCTATTATTATTATGAAATGTTCAGTTGTTAATGACCGCAAACAACTTAAGAAGCAATCAAAATGAATTGACAGTAACCAGGAAGTAATATCATTACTGTATTATTATATATAATATATATTATATAGTACATATGTATATCTGTATATGAAAGCTTATCATTACACATGTGCGTTTAGGTATTGCAACTGAAATTTCATACTTTATTGCAGCTTTTGTT